GCAACTACAAAAATAATCCATTTGTTTTTATATCACATCCTACGGGAGGAAATTCAGTAGCTCTCACTACCGATTTTTAATCCTAATGTAATCATCATCTTCACCACCATCATTTATGTTTATGTTCGCCGAATTGACATGAAAGCACTGACAAATATGAATATACTGTAGTCAACTTCATTAAAACGTTATTAACGTGCCTAAACTCAGTAATTCACCATTTCTACGCATGACAACACACTTTGTCCGTGTTTGGCTCTCTCGCCGCACAGTGAAGCGTTCCCGCATTGACGTCACTTCCGGCTTCCCCCAAAACTTCAAAATGAGTCGAAGGAATTTCCCCGCGATGTTCGAAATTATTGATATTTAACGGAATGGTATCGCTTTTTCTTTTTTAAACTGACGGTTCGAGATTACTAGTAGCCCAATATTTCATTGCACAACAGTTGTTGGGATGCTGTCACAGGCTCTTTAAATATGTGCACTGTGAGATGAAAAAGAAACATTTATCAAATTTAGTTTTGAACATTCACTGTGATTGGGTCTATTATCCACGCAATACACCGTATTTAATTTGTTTCTGTTCTTGTAAATATCATATTATATTACATGTATATAAACTTTTTGCACTACTTTTTATTTTGTATTTTTGTATTTTATTATATATGTTGCATTGTTGGAGGAGCTCAGGTCAGAAGAATTTCATTGACATTTTTACACTGCTCAGCATATGACGATAAAACCTTTGAATCTTGAATCCAACACTTTTTTCAGTGGAAAATCTTAAATTGTAGGATAGTTTGGCCATAATAATGCTTTATGATTACATTTCTAGTGAGAAGTGTATACTTTACTTTCAGAATCTACCTCCAGTGGATGTGTAGGTCTACAGCAGGGGTGCCCAACCTTTTTTGAACCGAGAGCTACTTTTAAAGTTGCCAGTCTGCCGAGATCTACCAGTCCAAATAGAGAGGCGTAGCCATTACTGACAGCCTACTACCAGGTAAATACACACTTCTACTTGTATAAAACTGACCTTTGTACGATTAATACTTCATAAAATACTGCAGATCCTTTATCTTACCTCTTTCTAATCTACACACATATAAGTATTTAACTGAAGTTACACAACAGTGTTGTTGATACAGAGTTGGAGTTTATTCACACGTCACTACAGTGGGTCATGTTTTCAAGAAACATTGAACCGTGCTGCAACATATGACACAGGAAAAAAAGAAAAGACTGAACCCTTTCTTTGCCATTATATAAAAATAGTGTTGCTACAAAAGTATAAATTAGGCTTACTAATAAGACAACTCAGATCTGAAGCTACACAGGAATCTGCTGCCAAAGTGCAATAAAAAAGACAACATTAATAGAATCAAACCCTTTGTGCCTTTAACTGAATTGATAATAGACTATAATCAATTTAAGTTTGCATTCTTATACCATTTTGTACAATAATTATAATGAATAAGTTCAAACAAACTAAAACTTACAGCTGATTAATAATGGTATCTAACTTGAGTTTTTATTATATCAAAAACCTGTCGAAATGCTGCTGTTATTTTTACTGTCCCCCAAAAGCGCGTCGGCAGCCTCCAGGAAAGCTTCTTTCACAACTTCGCCGTCTTTGAAAGACTTCATGTGTTTCGCAAGAACGTGACTGACACGATAAGATGCTCTGGTAGCAGCCTTGCTCTTGTTGTTGGGCCTGGTGAAAATGGACTGCTGTGCATTTAGCTGTCCTTTCAGGCCCCTCCCCTTTTGGGAGCGTAGGGCAGAATTAGGAGGGAATTCCGTCTCGTAGCGTTTGTGCACTGTTTTGAAATGCTGCTCCTAAATTACCCTTCTTCGATAAAGCCACGCTCGCATTGCAGATGAGACAGATGGACTTTGAATTGGAATATATACAAAAATATTCATCCTCCCACTCGGAGTGAAAATTATATATTTTGGGCTTTTTTGCTTCTGCGGTCTTGTGTGTGTGCGGACTGTCACTCCTGTTGACACGGACAACGTCAGCGAACTAGTGCACAGCCCACTGCCCACCAGCCACGCCCCGATACATGGGGTCACGCCGGCCAATCACAAAGCTTGGATGCGTTCAAGTGCATTATTCTGGTACAGGAAGATTATGTTATAGGACATAATAAAACAGAATATTGTTGTTCTATTTTTAGACACATCTCGCGATCGACTGGTTGGGCACCCCTGGTCTACAGTATGATAGATATATTACTTTACACCTTTTAAATTGAGGGATATACACTATATTTTATTACCACCAGTATGTACTTTATACATCCACCTCGAGTGTTTGTCTCTGCACTGGAAATAATTGAATTTTAAAGTTCAACCGCATATTATATAAACTATATCAGCACCACACCTGCGTAACACATGGTGCCTCTTGTCTGAACCAGTTTTTAAGCGATTTGTAATCTATTCTTGTCGACTTGCAGCCTACATACAAAGATAATTTTAGTTACGGCTGTAACTACGGTTCTATGAGTCCCGGATGACTGCCAGAGGCGGTGCTTTAGGCTTCCACCTTCAAAGTGGAGTAAGAACGTCCACTATCCAGAAGGGACTGCAGGAACTCTAAAATGGTGGCCACGGAGCAATGTCCCGGATTCTCAGCCTTACTCACACACCAGTGGGAGAAGAGCTTCCATTTGCACTCATACTGTGCTCGAGTGGATGGAGCTCTGGCATTCAGGATAGTTTCCCTGACAGATGCCATGAAACCGCTCAACAGTGGGTTGGGCCCTGCAGAGGCCAAACCCAGAGCTGAAGGCGGTGAGGGTCGGGATGCCAAATCTGACCCTTGAGCTGTGACAGAAGGTCCTTCCTGTCGGGGAGACGCCAAGGTGGGCTGCAGCAGAGACTGCTCAGCAGTGGGAACCAGACTCTCCCCGGCCAGCGGGGGGCGACCAGAAGGAGCCTGTGCTCCTGCAGTATACTGCGTCTGCAGTATCAGAGGCAGCGGCGGGAAGGCATACAGGAGAGCGTCCGGCCAGTCGTGCGCCAGGGCATCCTGACCCATCGGGCTGGTCACCTCCATCCAGGAGAACCGGAGGGGGCAGTGCCCCGACTCTTCCGAGGCAAAGAGGTCCACCTTGGCCCTGCCGAAAAGGCTCCAAATTGTCTCCACCACCTCTGGGTGAAGACTCCACTCCCCCGGTGGAGGCTTGCGCCGTGAGAGGAAATCTGCGACCTGATTCAGGTCTCCTGGCAGAAAGACTGCCCGCAGACTGGCGAGGCGGGGGAGCGCCCAAGGCAAGAGGTTCTGTGAAACGCGGAGCAGCTGTGCGGACCTGGTGCCCCCCTGGTGGTTGATTTAGGCAACGGCGGACATGTTGTCCGAACAAACGAGCACATGCCTCCGCGCCAGTTGGGGTAAAAAGTGCATGAGTGCGAGCAACACCGCCCGAAGCTCCAGCACATTGATATGGCGTGCACCTTCCTGGGCAGACCACTGACCCTGAACAGTCCTGCCCTGCCACACCGCACCCCACCCCGAGAGACACGCATCCACAGTGACAGTCTCCCGGTGGGATGGGATGGTGCCCATGGGCACACCCATCAGAAGATAGGCCCTGTCCCTCCAGCGGGATAGAGAGTGGAGGCACCGCTGAGACACCCTGACTCTCTTGTGCCTGTGCCGCTTGGCGTCCAAGTGAAAGTTGTTCAGCCACATCTGCATGGGACGCAGTGACAGCAGGCCCAAGGTCACAACGGCTGAGGCAGCTGTCAGTCTGCCTAAGAGCCGGAGGAACTGGATGTAAGGCTCCCTCTTGCCCAGTCTGAAGATGCGAAGATGGTGGGAAATGTCGTCCACACTACGAGGTGTCAGGTAGGCCCTCATGGCGACCGAATCTAGGAACATCCCCAGGTAAATGGCCTGTTGGGAAGGGTCCAGGCAACTCTTCCCGGTGTTCACTGTTAGGCCCAACCGGGCTACGTGGGATGAGAGGCACGCCGTATCCTGGGCCACTTGGGCCCGGGACGGCGTGCAAGCCAGCTAGTCCTCCTGATATGGCAGGACCTTCACGCTCACAAGAAAGTACGCAGAGTAGAACCCCCCGCCCTGAAGCAGAGGGTCCACTGGCTCGATTGCGCCCATGGCCAAGAGGACGGACAACTCTTGGGCCAGAGCTAAGGCCTTCGCCGGGTCATTGACAACTGTCATTCTGACCCGGCTGAAGGCTAGGGGCCGGCGTCGGAACTGCAATTCGTAGCCCTTGATTAGGGTGCAAACCACCCAAGGGTCGGAAGTACAGGCAGCCCAGTAGCTGAGCTGCTGCTGGGAAAAACAGCCGACGACCGGCCCCGGGACTTCAGGGCCTAGCCCCCCGGCCCCTGAAGCCCCCTGGGGGGTGCCGGTAAGGCTCTGAAGCCCGAGGCCGCCTGGAAGCCAGGCGACCTGGGGCACGAAAGTCATTGGCCGGTTGAGTGGGCCGCTGGGACCTCTGCAGACCACCCCTGTAAGCCGGTGGCTGAGTGCGGCTGCTAGAGCGGCCCCTGGGCCTGCTGGGAGTGGGCACGGGTCTGAAAAGACCCGAGAGCTGCTGCCTGGTCTGCCTAGCTTGGGCAGCATGCTCCAGCGCCTCCTGGGCAGCTGACCCAAACAGCTCCCCTGGCACGACTGGCACGCTACGGAGGACTCTCCTACATGTCTCCGTTAGTGGTGACTGGGCCAGCCAAACCTGGCGACGAGTCTGTACCAGAAAGGACATAACTCGTCCCAATTCCCTAGTCATTAGGGCAAAGGCCTGCAGTGATGCATCACTGAGGCCCAGCAAAGAAGGCTCGGCCGGGGCCTGCTGCAGTGAGGCGGAGACGGCCAGCATTAGATGGGAGAGGGAGTTCCCGATACGACCCATGCGTGCCGCTGCGTCGTAGCCGAGCAGCCCATCTGTGACCCTGCACTGAGGCCGAGGGCACCTGACCTCAGGCCTTAGAGCCTCATCAGGAGCCAGAATCAGGCAGGCTCAATGGGTGGCATGCCACCCAGCCCCACCCTCGCCGGGTCCTGCATGGCAGCCAAGGTCCGGGCATCAGAGCCAGCGTGGCAGAGGGCCCTGGTGTCCCTCCAGCATGCCTGGAGCTCCCTCAGGTACTCCTCTGAAGGAGGAACGGTGAGGGGGACAGGGGCTGGGCTACGCCTGAAGAAGGCACTAGCCTGAACCAAGTCGGCCTGCGGAACCGGAATCTGCAGGTGCGCCAGGGCCGTACGAATAATGGCCGCCATGGAGTCGTCCTCCACGCCCTGCAGAGACCCCTGAGCAGAGGAGAGGGAAGCCTCCTCGAGCGGGACCTCGTCCTCTGTCTCTTAATTGAAGAGGTTCGCCGAAACCGCTAGCGACAATGCATCCTCATACAGAGGTGCGGCAACCGAAGGAGGGGCGGCAACCGAAGGAGGGGCAAGCGGCACACTAGCAGCCCCTATACCGGGCCCTGGCTGAAGGGCCAAGAGGAGCGACTTCATCGTGTCCATGTCGGTAGCTAGCTGATCCACTTTAGAGGACAGCCTGTTTCTAGTCCTCCTATTGGGGGGTGCACCCATGGCCATCGCTCCCTCAAGTCGCCGGGGACGGCCGAACTGATCTGGAGGAGGATGTGACAAAGAGAGGTGTCCGTTGGCTGCCGCCAGACTTTCCACCTCAGTGATTCTAACCACTCCGAGTGCCCGGGGCATGCAGCTACAGTTCATGCAGGCACCTACTGTGAGAGCCTCCCTTAGATGCTCGAGGCCGAGGCAAGAGGGGCAGCGGTCATGGCTGTCCTCGGGCTCAAGAGAAGCCATACAGGCGCTACATGAATGAGCCATTCTGTAGGTAGCCAGATGCAGCGTAGCCGGGAGCGGGTGCGGGAACCCAGCCTTTACCAGCTACCTGCTTAACGGTAAGAGTAGAGCCGCGCCGCTACTCGCCAAACAGAAAGAGGGATTTAATTACACCCACGTTACCGGCAGAGTGAGCGGGAGCGAGAGCACTGCCTTCACCTAGCTGGATTATTAAATAAGGCAGTTTAGCGTTAACCAGGAGCGGGGGCGAGAACACTGCCTTCACTGGTTGAGCTAGAGACGAGTGCCAGATGCAGCGTAACCGGGAGCGGGTGCGGGAACACAGCCTTCACCAGCTACCTGCTTAACGGAATAAACAAGGCAGTTTAGCGTCTACCAGGAGCGGGGGCGAGAACACTGCCTTCACTGGTTAAATTAAAGACGAATGCCAGATGCAGCGTAACCGGTAGCGGGTGCGGGAACACAGCCTTCACCAGCTACCTGCTGAACAGGAAGAGTAGAGCGGTGCTGCTACTTGCCGAACAGAAAAAGGGATGTAGCTACACCCACGTTACTGGCAGAGGGACTGAGAGCGAGAGCACTGCCTTCACCTAGCTGGGTAAAATCAAGAAGCTTTAACACAAAGCTAAGACCAGAAACTGGCTTCTAAAGAAAAAACAGCACGGGAAACTCTGGTGCTTAACCCGGCGTCAGCCGAGTGGCTGCAGCCGCTACTGCTAACTAGCCAAACAAGAAACACAGCTCAATGCTAATGAAGTTTGGCACAACGCCGCGGTCAGAACAAGTACAAAAGCACAGCAAGGTCAACTCCTGGGAGAGGGAGCGGAAACACCTCCGTCACCAAAAAAGTTCAAGCCCAAAAAGCAAACTGACAGTAATCAGGACAACTAGGCTGGGAGAGGGAGCGGAAACACTGCCATCACCAACCAAGCCGACACCAACCTGTCCGAACGAAGTCTCTGCGCAGCCAGCCACTGCTCCTGGAGGACGGGTAAGCCCGCGGCCCCGACTGGATGAGTCGCGAAGCTGCACGCAGCCAGCTGTTTGCAGAGAATCCTTGACAAATGTTCCAACCGAACGAACGCTGTAGGCTACAAAAATGTAGCCACGGTACTCTCGCGCAGCGAGAAGATGAAAGGAACAGATCCTCTGATGACACCGGCTGATATAGCTATATAGATTCTATCTCCGGTAGAAGCACTCGAAATCTCTGGAGAAAATTGCCCCTATTCAGCCATCTTACGTCGGTGTGTAGTAAGAGGTCAGTGTGAACACAGTCGGCATCCTCCAGATATGCACGAAACAGCCGTCTTTGAAGAGGTCTTGCCCGAATAGAACAGGCCACTTAAAGTGACACATCCATGACCTCTTTCATGTTCAGCATTTTAGCACAAAGTGCGTGCTGGTGTATGATGCAGTGATAATTCAGAAAGTCAGGGAATGTGTCGTCCTCTCTGCATTTTGCAATGAAGCCATTACACCGGCCCACCATCGCAGGCGCACCATCCATTGTGATGGAACTCAACTTAGACATGGGGAGTTTAGTTTTGTCAACAAAGTTTTTAAACGTCCGAAAAATGTCCTCGCCCCGAGTGTGTTCCTTCATTGGCAGAATTGGCAGCAGTTCCTCTTTCGCCGTCATGTCTGTGAACACCATCAAGATAAAAACGCACAATTGCGCTGTATTGCTCATGTCAGTGGACTCGTCTAGTTGGAGTGAGAAACACTCAGTCTTCTATGTCCTTCCTGAGTTGCTGGGTCAAATCCTCAGCCATGACTTCACAGCGACGTGTGACTGTGCTCCGTGATAATTGGACGGCCTTGATAGCGTTTACTATTTCTGTTTTGTTTGTGTAATCCCGAAACAAGGCGTCTGCTGCTTCTACGAAGGCTTCTTTCACCATCTCTCCATCTTGAAAGGATTTTTTGTGTTTTTGATTATAGTGTGACTCACTCGCTTCAGTGGCCGCCTTTGCAGTGGATGTCGGCTTTAAGAAAAGTGTCTGCTGTCCAGCTAATTGTGATTTACTGTGAAAACTACGTTAGACCAGCTACCGTACTAACTCACCTGTTTTCCTGAAACTCTCGGGGCATCTGGAAAAAATATGTAATTGACAGACTATTGAGCCAACAGAAATACACAGTGGGTGGAACGTTGTGGTTAGATTTTACATTCTAATACTCTACAGTTTCTCTGAATATGTGTTTCCTGTTTCCTGCAGACGTCCAGCAGCAGCTGGTGGTTGAAGAAGAGGTTCCCCCTGAGCAGCAGGAGTGGAGCTCCAGTCTGGACCAGGAGGACCCAGAGCCCCCCCCACACATTAAAGAGGAACAGGAGGAACTGTGGAGCAGTCAGGAGGGGAGAGCAGCTTCAAGGGCTGGAGGAGGCTGATATCATCAAGTCCACATTCACTCCTGTCCCTGTGAAGAGTGAAGATGATGAAGAGAAACCTCAGTCCTCTCAGCTTCATCAAAGACAAACTGAACACCTGGAAACAGAAGCTGATGGAGATGACTGTGGAGGACCAGAACCAGCCAGGAACTCAGATCCAGAGAGACATTTACAACCAGAGACTGAGGACAACCCTGGAGACTCTTCTGAACCTGGGACTGAAGACAGTGCTGATTGGAAGAAGACCAGAGAACCAGGTTCAAAGTCTCAGAGAAATAAACAAGACCCTGTCAGTTATTCAAGACGTAGTGCAGGAGAGAAAACATTTGGCTGCTCAGTCTGTAATAAATATTTTACACAGAGTGGACATTTAAAAGAGCACATGAGAATCCACACAGGAGAGAAACCATTTGGCTGCTCAGTCTGCGAGAAATATTTTACACAGAGAGGAAGTTTAAAGAAACACATGATAATCCACACTGAAGAGAAACCGTTCAGCTGCTCAGTCTGTGAAAAATATTTCCCAACGAGAGCACATTTCCATCGACACATGAGAATCCACACAGGAGAGAAAACATTCAGCTGCTCAGTCTGTAAGAAATATTTTGCACAGAGAGGACATTTAGAGGAACACATGAGAATCCACACAGGAGAGAAACCATTCAGCTGCAGTGTTTGTGACAAAAGATTTACCAGGAGACATTATGTCAAAAGCCATAAGTGTGTTGGTCGTCAGTCCTCACAGCTTCATCAAACTCAAACTGAGGAGGACAGAGAGGCAGAGCCTCCAGCCAGCAGCTCAGCTGAACACATGGAAACAGAAGCTGATGGAGAGGACTGTGGAGGACCAGAACCAGCCAGGAACTCAGATCCAGAGAGACATTTACAACCATAGACTGAGAACAACCCTGGAGGCTCTTCTGAACCTGACATTTTCCAAGTCAAATCTGCAACAAAAAAAGGGGACAATTAATTAGTCCTACGACAATTCACATGAGAAAAATCTGTCTGGCTGTATAAACTCTGTTTGACAATGTTCAAACATGACTTCATCTAAACTCCATCTTTATCAACAGAAGTTTTGAATATGTTTAATGTTTTTGTCATACTACTTTTCTGATGTATACTATAACCACTGACTGATTAATCTGCAGTAGTTTCTCTAATAATCTGTTTGGTTAATGAAATGTTGTGACTTTAAACTTCCATTGGGATGTTGTTGATAGTTCCTGTTGAGTTATCAGTAGGCTTGTTTTGAGACAAGCAAGACCTGCGCAATTTCGATCAACGTCTTGCTAGTGCGTTGCATGATGGTTAGTCATTTTGTCCGACTTGCTCTGGAGGCTCGCCTACATGAGACGTTGAAATCTCGCGGGACAAAGACGCCCGCAGCCTTGAGAGCGAGGCGCGGCGAGGCGGCGCAGTTCCTCTCCACGGGCTGCGGAAACGAAATGCTTGATGGGAAACGACTCGCTGGTATCTCGAGCTGAGCTGAGCTCGTGCTGGTGATGAAACTCTCCAATTGGCTGGGCAAAAGTTTGTTGTTGTTTTGTGTCAGTTTTACATCGCCACTTCCATTCACATTTCTCATCATTGTTCCACAATATTTATCATCATTAAATGAATATCCATATATTTTATACTATACTTGCACTGCTTACCGTTTCATACTTTATATATCTTAGCATATTCATACACACTGTTCATACTGCTCACAGGCTGCTGTGTATATCTAGTGTATTAATACACACTGTTCATACTGCTCACAGGCTGATATCTAGTGTATTCATACCCCTCACTGTTTATTCATCATTCAATTCATTCTATATTTTATTCTGTAGATTGTGTACATTACTTTTCACTTTACTGCTTGTTGCACCTGGTTAGAAGCTAAACTGCATTTCGTTGTCTCAGTACCTGTAATATGTGCAATAACAATAAAGTTGAATCTAATCTTGAGCAGGAACAAATGTATTTACTTAGTACATATCTGACATTAACGATTAAACACATGTGTGCATTCTTTATAAATGCAAACCGAGTCAAGCCGACTCCGGAGGCAGCGGTATGCACCTTCAAGCTGTTTGCAATCCGCCAAAAAACCGAGAGAAGAAGAAGACGAAGCCGACTCCGAGCTATCCGACTTCAGGCAAGCTTTTTGAGACCTCCCCCGGCTACGATCGGCTATTCTCGTCTACTTTCGAGGCGAGCCGCAACGCGTCTCAAACAAGCCTAGTCTGTTCTGGTCTAAAAGAAGAACCAATGACTTATTGATATAGAGAATGTGTACGATGTTTTCAGTTTGATTCTGTTTATATCATCAAACCGAACTAAAAAAAAAATGTGTTTGAAACAGACTCACATTCCTGCATATTGTTTGTGTTTAGCAGCAGATTAAAATCAGGTCATTCAGAGTTAAGATGGTATGTAAGGAAAATGTCTGTCTTATGGACAGAGTTAACATGGGACTTGTCCTTCAAATGTACTGAGGTCCGCACAATGGAAATGTGATGTCAACTACCAATGCAAATTCCCTGCCACCGGCTAGACAAATTTGACCAACTATGCCGACACACATGCAACATTTGGGGGTTCTCTATGCATGTGTCTGAGGGTAAAATAATCATCATTCTGTATATAAATATTTTTGTCAATATCATGGACATCTCCTGCTAAATTGAGGTCCACGAAGCTGACACAAGATACCCGCAGATAAGCACTCATCTCGGACTAAAATCCTCAATGCATAGCAGTTTTAATGGCATGCCCCCATATTTTGTTGTTATTCCGTGTTACCAGGGGCACGAACTTCTGACCGGTGTTCCCTCTTGGTTTAGTCCGTGGGGGAGTGCTTAAGTGTGGGTACACAGGTTCGCCTGGTGCACAAGGTTATGGAGGTGGGGGTCTTGCTGGTGCTCAAGTGCCCATATACATCACCCCATATTCACATAACTTTTACCCGCCTTAAGAGACACTATTTTGGGATACAATTTATCCATTTTCACCCCTTCACCTGGTTCTTCCTACAGTTAACTTAGCCTTTTTCTGACTCTGGATGAATGGAATGTGATGTCAACTTCCAATGCAAAGTCCCTGCCACGGACAGGACACAAGGTTGATGCTGCTGCTGCTGCTGCTGCTCCTCCTCGTCCCTGTATTCACATAACTTTTACCCAGCTTTCACACACTCATTCCTGGGTAAGAAATCCATGTGCATCACCCTGGATAAAGCTTCTCTCCTGGCTAGTGCTGCTTCACAGCAGCCTGTCCTCTGGTGAGGTGCTGGAGAGAGCTCTCTGTCTGTGTCACAGCCTGCAGGTCCTCCTCGTCCCTGTATTCACATCACTTTTACCCAGCTTTCACACACTCATTCCTGGGTAAGAAATCCATGTGCATCACCCTGGATAAAGCTTCTCTCCTGGCTAGTGCTGCTTCACAGCAGCCTGTCCTCTGGTGAGGTGCTGGAGAGAGCTCACTGTCTGGGTCACAGCCTGCTGGTCCTCCTCGTCCCTGTATTCATATCACTTTTACCCAGCTTTCACACACTAATTCCTGGGTAAGAAAGCCATGTGCATCACCCTGGATCTCTGCCTGTGAGTGTGGGACCCTGCTTACAGCAGTGAACCTGCTGCCAGCATTACAAACATATTAATCAGGCATTTTAACACTATTCACTATCATGGGGCTATATAAATCAAATTGCGGGTAATTAGGAGCACAATTGTACCTTTTACTATTTAAATGTATTTGTATTATATATTTTTTGGCTATTAAAGTGACATTTCTGGGTGACTTTGTCAGTTTATGGAGCTTAGCCCACAATTCCCGGAGGTTCCAGGCCAAATTTGGGAGCTCATCGGCGGCCTGCCATGCGCCCCCACCCGTGGAAAGCAAAAAAAAGTAAAGAAAACGGTCAATTATATCGTAAAATAATCAAAAATGAAGTTCCTGTCCATTTCATGTACATTTGGTCGTGTCCATTTCATGTACATTTAATGGGTAGTCAAATGTGGATGAAATGGACACAATTCCCGGAGGTTCCAGGCCGAATTTGGGAGCTCATAGGCAGCCTGCCATGCGCCCCCACCCGTGAAAAGCAAACAAAAGTAAATAAAACGGTCAATTATATCTTAAAATAATCAAAAAATAAGTTTAAAAAAATTCTCGAAAAAACGGCTAAGTGCCAACGGAGGAGGGGCTGCAAAAAGCTCAAGTCTTCGGCGCTTCCGGCGGAAGCCCCTGAGACATTTGCACTGCCCCGTTGCATTTTACAACGGAGAGGGGAATCGAGACCTCCCTGCCTCCGTCCAAAAAATGCATTCATCTTTTCCAAGCTACCATCTGCACGAAATCGGAAACCCGGTTTTTGAGAGCACTTAGAAAAAAACGGCCTATTTCACATGATGGGGAAATCATGGAGGAAATCCGCTGCATGAGTGCTTTGGATCGGATACAATTGTTGCCTGGAGGACCCCCAATCATGGTTCTTACCAAACTTTAAGTTTTTGAACTGGCCTCTGGAGGAATTCAACGGGAGTTGTCACGGAATAATGAGACACTATTTTCGGATACATTTTATCCATTTTCACCCTTTTCCATGGTTCTTCCAAAAGTTAACTTTAACTTTTTCTGACTCTGGAGGAATGTAGGGGGAGTTGTCAGGGGACTCTACCCGCCTTATGGAACACTATTTTCGGATACAATTGATCCATTTTCACCATTTTCTCTGGTTCTTCCAAAAGTTAAGTCAGACTTTTTCCTGATTTCTCACTGATCGAATGGCAAACGTGACCCGCCATCGGAGGGCCTCCGCCGGCCCCAGCGCCGGTGCTCTGGCAGTCGGTTCCTCCGAACTGCGGGTTCGACTCTGATGGCTGGGAGGGTGTGCTGCGTGGGGGTAACCCTGCGTGTCTCTTCCCTCCCAGGCCGCCCGATATGAAGCGTGACCGAGACGAACCGTCTGACTCAGGGGTCCCACCACGGGTCCCGCGGCGGGATGGAGGTTCCGGGCTGGAACCTCCCCACCTACGCCGCGGTGCGCCCGGCAAACACTGTCGTTTCTCGAACCCTCCACTGTTGCTTAGCGGCCTTTGTCGGCTGCGGCATTCAGCAATCAGCCTTGCTCCGGGCACCGGTTCCTCCGGGGACTAACGTTCGGTGGCTTCACATGATATAGGGTCGACCCTACTTCATCACAGGCTACCTGTATGATCCTGCGTAACAACCATATATGCTTGTCTGACCCGCCATCGGAGGGCCTCCGCCGGCCCGGCCTCGTGCCGGTGCTCTGGCGGTCGGTTTCTCCGAACTGCGGGTTCGACTCTGATGGCAGGGAGGGTGTGCTGCGTGGGGGTAACCCTGCGTGTCTCTTTCTTCCCGGGCCGCCCGATATGAAGCGTGACCGAGACGAACCGTCTGACTCAGGGGTCCCACCACGGGTCCCGTGGCGGGATGCTTGTCACATATGCTTGTCTGCAAAGAGTGAACTGCCGGGTCCTGCCCTGGTGTTCCTCTACGGCTAGTGTCCAGCCGTCAGCTGTGCTATCAGCAAATTTGACCCGCCATCGGAGGGCCTCCTGCCCGGGTCCACATGCCGGTGCTTGGCGGTCGGAATAATAATATTTTACAGGGCTCAGGGGTCTGCACTTTGAAGCTCCTGGAGCGGACAAATATATGTGTATTTGCCTGAATGATGGAAATAAACACAAACAGCTATTTTACAGGACATGATTGATATAGATGTATTTTCACAGCTTTCTGGAAATACACCAAATGTGATTTTGCAGGGCAACACAAAGCTCATTATACCCATGTGATGTTGTGCAGAACATTACAGAGCTTTGTTTAACCACATGGAGTACCAGGGGCACTGGACTGGAACCTCCCCACCTCTGCCGGGGCACTAAGTAAGGTCTTACTTGGATGTCCTTATGTGTTTAGTTAGAGTGAGAGTGCTTGAGTTTGGGTACACATCTTTGCCATACGCACCCACCTGTGGATAGACGACATATGACAAAATAGTTAAAGGGGGGGGGGGGTGGTGCCTTGAAGAAGGCCGACTATGGATGCCGATGGGCGGACTATAAAGCACCGCAAAATACACCTTTAAGTATTACCAGGGCCATGAGAACATCCTCCACAGGAGGGTGGGTGGTGCTGCTGTGAATAAGGCCGACTATGGATGCCGATGGGCGGACTATAAAGCACCGCAAAATACACCTTTAAGTATTACCAGGGCCATGAGAACATCCTCCACAGGAGGGTGGGTGGTGCTGCTGTGAATAAGGCCGACTATGGATGCCGATGGGCGGACTATAAAGCACCGCAAAATACACCTTTAAGTATTACCTGGGCCATGAGAACATCCTCC